CGAAAAATCCAATTTCCGGAACCCCCACTCTAAAACACCCCCTTTACCCAACCTCCGAGTAGTTGAATTACAAAAGTACACCACCGCTCCCCGGCTAAAACAAAAAAAAATTCCATGACGTCATTTTTATAATTAATTATTAATGGTTTTTCTTTGTTTTATTGTCATCGTCATTGCCGTCTTTTATACAAACGAATTTTTTTTGTTTGTTTTTTGTATAAAAGTTTATCGTTCTCGAACATTCGATCATTCCCTATGAATATCTACCGTAAAAGAAAAATAATAATAATAATAAAATTTGTTGATTACATTACAATTTTTTTAAACGCAACCATTATTTATTATTATTATTATCTTAAAAATATATGCGGCCATTTTGAATTAACACGTGAAAATAAAAAAAAAAAGAATGTAGAAACAAATTATAAGTAAGGAGAAGAGAGAGATAGAGAGAGAGAGAGAGAGAGAATAATAATAATAATAATTATAATCAGAGCACATCACACAGTTTATTTCGAAAATAATAAAAAATAAAAAAAATTTTTTTTTTTTTTTAAACTATTCAATTTCGAACAAGTTTTTTTTTTTTTTTTAAATTTGTGGGTAAAAATCGTTGGAGTTTTCTCCAGACGTGTTAAATAATTTTTTTTTTTTTGGAGAAAAAAAAAATATTATTTCAAGAAGTTTTTTTTTTTTTAAATAATATAATAGAAATACGTGTAAAAGTTGATTTTTAAAAAATTTTTTTTTAATAAATAATAATAATAATAATAAATGAATCGTTCCAGGTAAAATGATAAAACGAAAAGAATTCTTTTATTCGTAAAAAAAAAAAAAAAAAAAAAATTCCAGCGACAAAAAAAAACCGTGATAATTATAGAAAAAAAAAGAAAAAGAAAAAGTAAAATTCATTAATCATAAAATGAATACAAAGTCAGGATGCGGGTAGTTTTTCTCTCTCTCTCTCTCTCTCTCTCTCTCTCTCAATTCTTCTTAATTACACGAATAAAAAAAATTATTATTATTATTATTACATATATATATTAATATCGGTTCGTGACACCGGCATTATATTTTTTTTTTTTTTATAAAATACGAAATTAAATAGTCATTTTCATTTCGTGTGTGAGATTTTTGAAAAAAAATGGCGGGTAAATAACCAAATTTCCGTTCTGTGAATTTTTTTTTTTTTTCGTTTACGTCATCAACGACCGTAATTCATTTAAAGTTTTTTTTTTTTTTTCTTATCAGTTCTTTTTTTTTTGTTGTTATTCTCCAGAGGGAACTCTGGAAATAAGGAGGTGGAAATAACAAAAAAAAAAAAAGAAAAGTTTAGATAAAATAATAATTTTTTTTCAAGTTACTTTTCTTAATTTTTTTTTAAAAAAAGTGGAAAAAGAAAAGTGTAAATAGACATATAAAAAAAATTAATAATAATTGTAATAGTTTATAAATAACTTTAAAGTTAATAAAAAAAATAATAATGATAATAATATTATTAGCCTTTCAAAAATGAATCATAAAACAGGTAAATAAAACTAATTTACTATTATTATTATTATTATTAAATTTCATAGAAAGGTTCGGTTATTAACCTTGATCGTTTTATCAAGTAATAATAATAATGATAATAAGTGAAACATGTTTATAAACGAATCAATTTTGAATAGAAAATTCAACTTCAAAGTGTAAATGATGATGATAATATTATAAAGCCATAAAAAAAGGCCCCATTCGAAATAATAATAATAATGATTGATTTTTGAATTTGTAGTGATTTTGTAAACAATGCCAATAATAATAATAATAATAATAATAATAATAATAATAATAATAATAATAATAATAATAATAATAATAATAATAATAATAATAATAATAATAATAAACTTTCTAATACGATTTGATAAATTATTCACACACGTTAAAAATTTAATTTCATTTTAACTTTCTTATATGTATTGTTTGAAAACTTTTTTTTTTTTTTCGGTTAAAAGTTGTTTAAATCGCAGGGCAAACAATCGTAACATATAAACATAGAATTCTAATAAACATAATTTTATATAATAATAATAATAATAATAATAATTGAAATGAAAATTTCAATAAAAAAAAAGTAGAAAAAATTTTTTTTCTCCACATTTAAATCTAAACAAGTTTTGTCAATTTGTGGCAAACAAACATTTTGATAACTCAATGTTTAAGGTCCGGTGTTTTGGTTGTTGTTGTTATTCTATCGTTAATGGATGATGGCATCCAATTTAAAAAATTTAAAATAAAAAAAAAACTTTTTCAGGTGTTTTTTTTAAATGTGTCACGTGTGTTGTTTATGTTGTTCACGTGTTTTTTGTTTGCATTTCGCCGTGATTTTTTATTTCCGAAGATTTTAAATAATAATTTTTATTTTATATTACATTTATAATAAAAAAAAAATGGCGAAAATTTTTTTTCCAAATTTTTTTTATAAAAATCAATAAAATTAATTTCCAATAACGGTTTAAATTAATATATGACTATTTTTTTTTTCCTCTCCTTTTATTATTAACAAAAAAAAAAGCAACATTTCCAGTCGCATTCCAGAAATTCTAGTAATTTTATTTTTTTTTTATTTTTTTTTTAAATGTCTTAATTTTAATCTCACGAATTATTACGAAATTATTAATAATAATAATAATAATGATAATTTATCGATCGTAAATTAAATATGAAAAAAAAAAACAATATAAATACGATTTTTTTTTCTTTTTTTTTCAACAAAAAATTTTTTCTATTAATATTTTAATAAAAAAATAACTTTAACTAATGCAAGAATCATTATTATTATTATTATTATTACTATTATTAATGATATATAAAAATTATACAGAAGTCGTTTTAAAAAAAAAAAAAAAAAAAACTTTAAAAAAAAGAAACTTTAAAAAAATTTTTTTTTCAATCCGATTTTAACATTTTCCCCTCGTTTAAATGACAGAAAATATAAATTATTATTATTATTATTACTATATCACTCAATCAATGAAAACTATTTTAAAAAATTATTATTATTAGTATTATTATTATTTGTACGATGAAAATTGTATCGAATCGTTTTGTATTTAAAAAAAAAAAAAATTAATAAATTTTAATTAAAAATATTTGATGATTATTGATTTTTTTTTTTAATCAGAATATTATTATTATTATTCGTTTTGTAATTTTAAAACACGCACACGCACACACGCATACAAAAAAAAATTAATAAATGAAAAATTAAAAAATGTTTTCTTTATTATTTCTAAATGTACAAAAAGACATTTTGAAATAAACGTTTATTATAATTCTTTGTACTAGCAAAGTTCAAATTCGTGACTCACTCTACGAGATCTACACAACAAACACATACAAACACAAACACAAACACATTTAAAGACACACACACACACACACACACACACACGACCCAAATTTCATACATTTCAAATGATAAAATCCAATCGTACATACAATTCAATGTTTCTAATGTTTTTTATCAATGAAATTGAAAAAACTTTTCCACCGGATTCAGGTTTTTTTTTTCTTTTCTTTTTATTTCATATTTACCGCCACGACCTTGATCGAATATTTTTTACATAATTTTTATTTATTTTGAGTTAAATCAATAACAATAATCAGAACCTTAAGAAAAAAAAAATCATTGAAATGAATGTAAAAGCAAATTATTGATATGTATTGATGTATATACTTGAGAATTTTCAAACACACCCCCTTCCCCCTACACACCCCTTTTCCCCCACACACACACACACCCTCTTCCTTCCTACTCCAACAAACACACAAACATAAAATTTGTCAATAAAAGCAATTAAAAAATATAAAGAGAAAATAAATGTGGTGGCTGGAATCCATTAAGGCTTCCTTACATGTTTTCATTGTTGTAACAACACATTTTTGTTAGTAAGTGTCAATTCAATAAAAAAATATTTGTTTTGTATTTTTTGTATGTGTGACAATGTTGTTTGTTACTAATCAAACAAACGGTTGTTAAATAAAGTATTAAATAGAATCAAGAATCAAAATTTATGTTTTAATAACAGATTGAACTTAAATATTAAAAAAATTTTTCTTTTATAATATGAGTAAATTTTGTAATTAATTTTGTAATTTGAGTTGTGATAAATAGAATCACATTGTATGTAACGGTTTTTTTGTTTGAAATTTTGTTGTGTGGCTTAAAATAAATTAATTGAATAAGAAAAAATTAATGTAATTACAGTCATTTATAAAAACAATAATAATGGAGGTTCACATGTAAAAAAAAATTTTATATGACCAGGTACAAAAAATAATAATTTGATCAACTTTACAGGATGTGTTTCTCATCATTTTATAGTTTTAAACGAATTAAAATAATTTTAGTAACATCATTAAAAATAAATTAAGGTAGAGGAAGAATTTTTTTTGTCAAAGTAATATATAAAAAGTAAAAAAAAAAAAAAATTTTTTTCTCTTACTTACAAAATTTTTTAATTTGAGTTTAAACACTAAATAACTTTGAACTTTTTATAAAATTAAATGAACTCCACATTTAAATTAAAAGACATTTTCTTTTGTTTTTAATTATAATTATCTTAACCGTTTTGATTAAATCTAGAAACATTTTTAATGAGGAATCAAAATATGCAAGTTACACCAAACGACCGCGATTTTAAACTGACTCACGGTACTACCAACCTATGAAAAATATAGAAACGCTTCTGAGCGCTCTATTACAAATGTGTTTTACAACGAATCGTTTACAGGGATGCAAACTTAAAAATTTTAGAAAAATATTAAAATATTTTAAACGAAAGAAATTCAAACGTGAATATCTAAAATTAAAACGCGTTTGAGTAAATTTTGTTTCGTGATATTTCGAAAGATTTTACAAAAAATAATTAGCCACCTGGTGTCTCGGTTTGCTTTTTTAATTTAATAAGTTTTTCTGTTGCTTAGCAACGCATACGAAATAACAATAAACAAACATGTCGGCGAGTGAAAAATGGAGGAAAAAAGTTTCTACCTTATCGGAAACTATTTTTCCAGGAATTTCATTACACAAATACGGTCTTGAAAGTGAAATTGTATCAAGTTTACCATTACAAATGCTTTTATATTTTAATTTGTATTTTTTTCCAGTTTGGTTGGCCACGTCCGTCGTTATGATTTCTGCCAAGGTTATAATACAAAAATATATATAATTTTTTTTTTTTTCCCATCCCCCTCCTCTATAAATAAACATAAATAAATACCGTTCGGTTTTAATATTTTACATTTGTCATCTGTCAAATAAATTTTTATTTTCAGTTCGAATGTCTTTCAAGTTTGTATCGATTAATTGTCGTTATCGTTCACATAGCAGTGTCAGGAATAGAAATATTACGTTTGTATTTAGGATATTTAGGAAATTTAACGGAAAAAATACCAGAGGTAGCAGCATTTTGGATGCTGTCAATACTTTTACAATTACCAATGCAAATATTTTTAATATCAAGTAGACAATTATTATTGTCACCGATTGAATACACCGTTCAAGGAATTATGTTAATTTTTTTAATATCACAATTATTCGTTGGTTATTTTGCATTAAGATTAGCAGCTAGACATCAAGCTAAAAAATTTCATTTATTAAGATTACAAAAAAATTCAAATAAATTTGAAATGAATTTAGGATTTGAAAATGATGACGATTGATATTCTTATTAAGTTTTTTTTTCTTTTTAACTGTGAACCCAACCGTTTTTAATAAAAACAAAAAGTAAAAGTAATAAATGGTACATAACACAATAAATAACCAAGGATTATTAAATGTATGCAAAAGAAACATACAAAAATACTCACAATTACAAAACAAAAAAAAAACAAAAATATATTAAAATAATAAATAAAATTTGAGATCTCCCTTTTTTTTATAAGATGTACTTATAAAGATTACACTATCAATTATATAACTAATAATAATTGTAACAATAACAATTAATTTCTTTTAATTATTCAGCAACAACAATATTTATTATAAAATTTAAACGATTCAACAAATAAATTTAATTTGTTATACATAAAAATATTTTAATGTTATTTAAAACTATAAAATCCATTTGTACATAAAAATTTATTAATTTACGTTCTTTTTTTTTTTAAACGTAGTTAATAAGTATTTAATAAATATTTCAAAAAGTAAATTCACCAATAAACTCTGTAAAATCATTTATGAAAATATCAGTTTTTTCATTCATTCGATAACAAAACACTAAATAGGCACTTTAATAATTAGTTAATAATTATTGAATAAAAATCTCTTAAGTAGTTTTTAATAAATACTGTCAAAAAATAATAATAATAATAATATGGCAACGACTTTCTTTTTTTTTTTTTTTTTTACTCTCCAAAGATATATATATATATATTAACAATATTATAATAAAAAATAATTTATAACGATAAAGATAAATAAAAATAAAAGTAAAAAAAAAAAAAAATATATATATATATATATATTAATTTATCTTGATTATGTTTTGCTGTTTGGTTCCAAATTATGTTTTTTATAAAATGAATTTATATGTGTTATATTATCACTTAAACTTTCAAAATAAACTTGTAACGACTTAATTAAATTTTCCTGTTTTTCTTCTCCATTGCATTCGGACATTTTAGACAGCAAAACCGATCTTTTAGGCATCAGATTTTTGAAGAACTAATAGAACAGATTGATAGATAACTTTATTAAATAATCATACATTTATATTATTATTATCATTATTTTTATTTAAATTAAAATTTGATTTCTGCAAAAAAAAAAATTATATGAGAGTAATTTATTATTAAGATATTATATATTTATATCTGGGTTTGCATGTAGTTTTTTGCAATATTTAAGTAAATAAAACAATACTTATTATTATTATTATTATTAATAAGAATATGACACTAAAATAAAATGAAATAAAATTATTATTTTTTAAAATCGAGTAATGATGTTATTGTGTTACAAACATGATTAATTTTATTCTTACCTTAAATAAATTTCTCGTTATCCAATTATGATATGGTTGCAATGTTTGAATGTATGCAGATGTCATGTGTTCTTGTAAATCTTCTGATTTTTTACTATCATTAATTATGTTTTGAAAAAATACTAATGTAAAATGTAATGCTCTAAAAAAAAATTTTGTTATTATTTATTTAATTTGTCTTTTTTAAATGAGGCAAAACGGTTAAGAATCAAAATGTATGATTCAATCTAAAGTACTTTTCATTATATATCTATAACAACTATTTGTTATCAAAATTTTTCTAAAGATTATTAAGTAATTAACCAACCTTCGTAACCACAAAAGAGCATCTAGTGCCTCATCTCTATTTATCGACTTTTCACATAAAATTAAATCTTCAATATAATAATATTTTTTTGGATTTTGATCAAAGCAAGTTTTAATTTTACTTATGTTACAAGATATGTCGTTGTGTAAAGGTGAAAAGGCACTACCCAATTTTCCTAAAACCAATAAATTTATTATATTTTACAAATAATATCGACATGACAATTTTTGCATGCTTAAACACCATAAATTTGCGATTGTTTTTTTTTTTTTTTTAACCTTAACGACATGGTATATCGTACAAAAAACAATATATATGTATGTTAATATTAAATTACAATAATCTATTTAGGGTTATAATTTCATTGTTAACAACGATACAATAAATAATAATAATTGAAATTGAATTTGAGCTCACCGACTAGATTAACAACTCCTTTGCAGGCTTCTAAAAATTCAAGCGTATTTAATTTACCATTAACTTGACATGGAAAAAGCGTTCTACCAAATGCATAAGAAATAACAGGAAAATCTTTAGCACTACACGACATGTTTAAAACGGGTTGTTGAAAAAAAAAAAAAAAAAAAATTCTTTAAAAACTTATTTCACGGATTCATTAAGTACAACAAACAGTCGTTAAATAATAAGTGTGACTTTTTGTGAGAAAGTTGAAACTAAAAATTTAAAAATGGCGCATGTGCAATGGATTACATATTCATAAAATAAAAACATGGTGGTTTAAAATGGCCGCTGTTTACAATTAAACTTTTTGAAATTTTATTACATTATTTCCCCTTTAAAAAGTTTTAAAATGTTCAAAATAAATTCTATATTGTTTAATCAAGTATTTAAAAGTTCAATTCTGAGTGAGTAAATCCAATTTGCTTTGAAATCGAAAGTATTTGTAAACATTATGTATGATAACATAAAATAAGAATTCACCACAACTAAATTTTTTTATTTCATTTTAATTAATGACTAATTGTTTCAGGTGAAACGGTAAAATGCAACAATTTTTTATTAAAACAATGTGCCAACATACATTGTTTCGAACCCCCGAAACCGGTAGATTCCTCAGATTGGCCGGATAATAGAAAGCTCAGAGTAGTAGAAAAACAACCTTTTTTTGATACTAAACCCCCTAAGCTTCCTAAAATGTTAAGATTACTTAGAGGTCCGGAAGAAGTTCATACCGATTTAGTCTATAAACAATATGGTGTAAAAGTTAGTTATTATTTTCATTATTATTATTAATTTTAAGTTAAACTTATATAAGAAATATTTAAATTTTCTTTTTACTATTAACTTCTACGAATATGAAATTCAAAAAAAAAATTTTTGTTATTTTATTTTATTTAGGCTTTGTTAGGTGGAAGAATGAAACACACAAATTTTGAAGCGGTTCGTAGAATAATATTCAAAAAATTAGATACTAGTAGAATGTTTGCCTTTTGGAGAGTAGAACCACCTTGGCAACCTATGACGAAAAAAGGTGTTGGTAAAAGAATGGGTGGTGGAAAAGGATCTGCTCATCATTATGCAACACCAGTAAAAGCGGAAAGAATTATTATCGAACTTGGTGGTAATTTAGATGCACATGAAGTAATTATTATAAATATTACAGTATTACTAAAAAAATTTCTCAAAATCCTCTACTTATGTATAATTATATGAATTTCAGGCTAGAAAAATATTAGGACCAGTAGCCGAAATTCTTCCATTTCCAGCAAGATTTGTTAGTCAAAAATATTTAGATGATGAAAGAGAGAAAGAAAAATTGATAAAAGAAAACAATACAAATAAATTTACAATGGAATATGTTATTAAAAATAATATGGGTGGATGTCAAAAATGGTTATCTCCCTACGATTATAAATGGTTTGGTAAATACAAATAAACCAATTCCAACATTAATAAATAAAGAAAATTTTTTCAAAAAGTATTCGATAATAATAATGATAATTTTGTTTGTTAAGGAAAATAAAAAATAAAAATTATTTTATTAACATTGATTATTTATATATATATTTTTTTTAAAATTATTATTATTATTATTTATTTATTTTATTTTTATTTTATTTTTATCATCAAGATACACGAAAGCCATTTTGCTCTTTATTATTATTATTATTATTATTATTAATACAATTAATTAGATTAAAATATGTGTGTATGTGTATGTGTATGTGTGTGTATGTTTATGAGTGTGTGTATATATATATATAATATAAGGTTAATTAAAAGCATCTATATAATCACATTGTTTTCTTTTTTTTTTTTTTTAGAAAAGAAAAACACAAGGTTAACACTACCTCCTACCTACCTACCTAAGTTTCAAACATTATTTACCTGTCCTTCGTTACATAAATTACCCCGATCCCCAACCCCAAACCCCTTATTATTATTATTAATATGATTATCATTACAAAATACTTTCTCCCCCTATAATTTTCACTTCATTCAAAAAAAAAAAAAAATTTAATATTTCCAAACATTCGTAACATTCACCTATCGCGATCATTGCAATTTATTATTATTATTATTATCATTATTTTTTATTAAATTTTACACATAAATATTATTTATTTATTTATTTATTTAAAAGCAAAAAAAATTTTTCTCTTAATACACTTACACGTAATACACTTAAAAAAAAAAAAAAATTAAAATAATAATAATAATAATAATAATCGAAGAGCAGAGAGTTTAAATTGAGATCATCATCATCATCATCATATAAATATAAATATATATTATGACTAACAATATTTATAATAATAATAATATTAATAATTACAAAAAAAATTATTTATTATTATTATTATTTTAAACACTTAGTGCTATATATAGATAATAATAATAATAATAATAATAAATAAAAATAAGCATAAGAAGTTTATATTATCGTTATTATTATTATTATTATTATAATTAAAAAGTTTTTTTTTTTTTTTTTTTTTTTTGGAAAGAGTTGCTGGAAAAGCTCGGTTTTATTATTATTTTATTTACAATAAACTAATAATAATAATAATTAATTAATAATTAATTAATTATTTTTTTATACATAATATACAAATTATAACAATTTTTTTTTTTTTTGAGCTTAATATTATTATTATTATTTAAAAAAAAAAAAAAAAAAATTTTAAGCGAAAAAAAAAATTGGGAAAAATTTAAATTTATCAATATTAATAATAATAATAATAATAATAATAATAATAATTATAATACACTCACGTCAAAGATAACAACTACGATCGATACCTGGGTTAAATATTTATAATAATAATAATAAATAAATAAATAAATGCTTTCGAATTTTAAATTTTAAATTTAATTAATGCCCCTTTTGAATGAATGAATGAATGAAACAAAAAATAAATAAATAAATAATAAGAATAATAATGATAATAACAATTAAAATTTAATAAATAAATAAAAAATAAAAAAAAAAAAGAAATTTATTGTTGCGTTTTAATAATTAATATCTTAATTAAATACCTGATTATTATACATTTTAAAGTGTTTCGTTTTATCATCGTAATAATTAATATTATTATCATCTATGTACATAAAATTTATTTGTGATAATAATGATAATGCGAGCGCGCGTGTATGTGATGTAAAAAAAAAATTTGTTACCGTTTCGTTTCGTACTATTTTTTTTTATTAAGAGAAAATTTTATTTATTTGTTTGTTTGTTGGTTTATTTGCTTGTTTGTTTGTTTGTTTGTTGGTTTATTTGCTTGATTGTTTGTTTGTTTGTTTTCATTACATGAAAATTTTATCACGAAGATTATTAAATTAAAAAAAAAAAAAGAAAAGTATTTAAATATACATAAATAATCAATTACTAAATTTTTTATGGTATTTATAATTAATTTTTTAATTATTATTATCATCATTATTATTATTATTAGTTAAGTGAAGAAGAAGAAGAAGAAAATTAAAGCATCGAATATATATAATTACGATAAATAAAGTATGTGAGAGCGCGTGTATGCGTGTACTTATATATGTACACCCTGGAATAAAATGTTTGCAACTATTCAGTCTATTAATTATCACTATCATTATTATTATCATAAATATTGATTTATTTATGTATGTATGTACAACTACAAAAGCATAATGACTAGATTAATAAGTTTCTATTTTTTTTTGAATAATAATAATAATAATAATAATAAATAATATTATGTATATATATATAAATAAATATTTAAGCATTTGATTCTTTAAGATTATCGAAATACTGCATTATCTGATCGTAATCCATTCCAAGATTAAGATCATCTAATCCGACATCTTCTTGCGATGTTGGTGGTGGTGGTGGATGTGGTGATGATGATGATGATGATGTAAATAATTTTGGAATGGATTCATCATCATTAATTGAAAACATTGGATTACCAACGATGGATGCTTTTTTAACTTCCGCGTTTCCGATTCTGTTCGAATTATAATTTTTATCGGGATTTTTAAAATCTACAAATGTCGGATTTGATTGACGTTCGAAATCTTCTTGCCTGTTAAATTTTTTTTAAAAAATTTAAACGGGTAAAAAATTTCCAAATTGTTTTTCCTCCTGTTTTCGACTGTCAATATTTTCATGGGTTTCTCAAGAGAGAAAGAGAAAGAGAGAGAGAGATAGAAGGATTTTTTATTTAAAATAAATAATAGATTTTTTTTCTTACCTTGTTTTGTAATTTTTTTCACTTCCAAAACTTCCGACTCGTGTTCTGTGATGTTGATGATGTCTTTTAGACGACGACGACGACGACGACATATTTTCCAATGCTTCGACACTCTGTTCGGAAGAATGATGACTTTCCAAACAACTTTCTGTCGAAGAAAAAAAAAAAAAAAAAAAAAAAAAAAATTATAACCGTCGGGATTTTTATGAATCCATTGATCAGGTTTTCTCTACGACGATATTATTACCATCTTCCACGGCTTCGTACTTTGACGAACGACTCTTTGAAACGTTTTTATTTCGATGATGATGATGATGATAATGTCTTTTTGGTGGTTGAGGCTCAGGTTTAGGAGTCAACACCGGAGTCCTATGCGGAGGAACTGGCGGTTTATATTCATCCAATGCTATGCCGTGAGGAGGTGGAGTCGGAGGCGTGGGAGATGTAGGTTCGCTAAATTATAAAATTCATTTTAAATCAAAAGAAAATTTGTTTTTTTTTTTTTTAAATAAAAACTTACAGTTCGCAAAAATCGTTAAAATCGCTTCCTCCATTACCACCGGCATGATGTTGCCCGGAATTTTTACAATATGTTGCCGTATCTACCACAACGGTTTGAGAGCTGTCTAAGTATTTTAAATTATCTACTCGGGTATTAAATCCACCGGAATTAAATGGATTTTCGGTTATTCTCATTTCATTGTTGCTGCTGCCACTGCCGCCACTGCTGTTGTTGTTATTATTATTATTATTATTATTATTACTCGGATTCGAAGAACCGTTTGCGGGCACGTTCGTGTGAGTTGCGGCTTTTTCGATAGTCGCTCTTCCCAACCAAACCCAATCGTGTACATTAGTTGTCGATTGTGGCAAACCTTTATAACCTGAATTCCCGTTTGAAACTCCGCTAATTAAAACATCAAATAAATTTTAACCTTTTGTGTATGTTACGATTAAAAAAAAATTTTAATTTTTTGTTTTTATTACTTGGTCGTCGACATGTTTGCACCATTATTATCATCGCTACTGGAAACATCAACGGTTTCTCCAACTTGGGCCTTGAATTTCGAAGCGTAGACAACGCAGGATACGACGAATACGACAATGGCAAAACAAAAAGCAGCCAATAAAACGTACATTCCTATTTCGAGTGGTGTCATACGATTTGAATTTCGTACGTGAAAATTCGAATGTGGTATCAAAGCCGAATGATGTTGTCGAGCTTGTACTGTAGGCTCGTGATTGTTTTCATCTTTGAGTGGTGATATACCAGCTCCTTGGAAAAGAAACAAACACGCACATCATTTTTTATTTTTTTTTAAAGCAGTAAAAAAATTTTTATTAACGATGATTCATCACAATTTATTTAATCTTAAATGTCGTAAATGTAAAACTGATAGGACTTACTCTGTATGTGCAATATGTCGCCTAAATCGGATTTTATTCTTCGATCTCGATTCGATATGCCGATGTTACCATCGTTTTGTACGAATTCAGCACGTTGGGAAATGTCGCCGGCACCGAAATCAACTTCAACGGCTGCCGTAGTTTCTGCCAAATAACCGACGCTGGATTTACTTCCTCCCGTGATCGATTTCGAAAGTTTTCGACATTCGTCGTTCGTCAAAAGCGTGACTCTCAACAAATCCCCCCTTCCTTCGCCGACGGCTATAACTCTAGGATGATGAGATGCGACCATTGGTGCAAATGCAACAACGTCCGGATCGAGACTTTCTACTGCTAAATAATAATCGGATACGGCAACGTCACGCAATGGCGTTCGCGATTCGTCGGAAAATTCTAATTCTATATCGAGAAGGCCCTCCTGAAAAAAAAAAAAAAATTTTAAATCAACGGACGCCATACTTTTTCGTTTTATTTTTCTTTTTCCAAATTAGTCTACTCGCCTGATATTGAGCCGTGAGCCTTCTGGTAACCGACGTTTCTGCAATGTAACCGTTTTCGACGGTGCTATCGGGACTTATAGACAACTGTAAACCGGAAACTACGTTGACGATCAAACGCAAAAGTGTTACTTTATCATTTCCGACTCGAACTTCTTTAGCGCCGATAACTCTTCCTGTTATTGGAGACAAAACCTATTTAAAAAAAAAAAAAAAAAAACGTAGTAATAATAATGATGATGATTTATCAACAAGTTTATTAACAATTTAATTACCTGAACTTCCGTTCGACCGACGCTTCTTCCACGTATTATTTTACCTCTGAGATTAGCTATTCTAGGATCGGAAACTCTTAGCAGACTTTGAACCAAATCCGTCACTCTCAACCACGTTCTACGATTGACAAAATAATTAACTCTTCCGGAATCATGATCTTCGGCCAAAAATCTAGCATAAACCTATAAGAAAAAAAATTGTTATTATTATTATTATTATTATTAATTTTTTAAAAAATTCGTTTCGGATAAAAATTATCATTTATATCGATTACCTCGATCGGACTTTGTTGAAATCTTAATTTACAAGTTGGATGTTTATCCGAATCGACATTGTTCGTGACATCTTCGGAATTTGATCCCCTTGAATTAGCCCAATTCCTATATTGATTCATACCCTCGACGTAACGTTTTTTTCTATTAGCGAAAGATCTTTTTTTTCTAGATTTGTTAATTCCGATGTTGGAAACGTCACCGGGTATTTTCCACCCCTTGATTTGACTCAAACGAAAATCAGGAATGTTTACTTCGAGTGGGAATTCGGGCATCCAAACGGTGAATTTTGCGAGACCTGTATATGTTCCGTATTTAACGATAACGGAAGCGTTTGAAGATCCACGAATTTCCGAACCGTCAACGTAAACGGAACTACAGGAGGATGAAACTTTTAAAACGCTTTCGTCTTCGGAGTGACAAGAAGATTGAAGCGTGACATCAGCCACTTTACCAGCTTGACTGACAATCAGTACTTTCATCGCTTGCGAAACTTGTCTTCCCGTTAAAACTGCAGTATTGATCACTTCCCAATTCTAAAACAAAACAAAAAAAAAATTCGATACTTTTTATTTGGGGGGGGAGAAGGGGAGAAAAGGGGGACTTAAGTAAAAACACATTTTTTTTTTTTTTTTTTTACCTTCGATATCGGTAAAACGGATTGTATGTCATCTTTTTGTATTTCCAAACGAGCCGACAATTTTTTTTTAGAATCTTCTACGACTTCGTCTTTAGCACTCCTTCTCGTACCTCTGTGATGATGAATCCCTTTACCTTTTGTCATTTTCGAACCTTCGTAAACGTATCTCGCACTCCAAACGATTCTACCCCCATCCCATAAATCTTCACCATTTTCCACAACTTCCAAATGCCACGAAAAAATTTCTTCGATTCTAATAAAATAAAATAAAAATTATTATTTATTCTTTTTCATTAATCTAAATTAATTTTTTTAATAAAAAATAAATAAATAAATAATTTTAAGCTTTCCAGCAGAAGATAATAATAATAAAAACAATAAAATTTTTATAATATATATTTATTTCAGATTTGTAATCGTAATTTTTTGTAAAAATAAAAAATAAAAATCTAATCCATAATTCTCGTGATTAATTGTATGAGAATTTACTCGGATTATACTAATCCTAATTAAGAATCAAATAAAAGGATTTAAGGGGATTAAAAAAGAAAAAAAAAAAAATTCGACCGTTCGGTCGGTTTTAAATTCTAATGAATTTTCTTTTTTTTGTTAATCAAAAGAATGGAGAGAAAAAAGATATCGGAAAAACGAAATTAATTTCTTTTCCCCCAATAAATTATTATTATTATTATTTTTTTCAAACAATAATATTTTTTATTCCCCTGCTCCCTTTCGCTCTTCCCCTTCTTTCTTATTCCCCGACCCCCTCCCTCGAAACGAACGACGAAAACGTGGGCATTTTTTATTTTTTTTTGATTCTACGCCCACGATGAAATTTAAAAAAAAAACTAAATACGTTACGTTATATAATTTTCGGCAAAATAATTATGGAGTCTTGAATTTCTTTCTTTTTTGGTTTAAATGAAAGGTTGGAAAATAAATTATCGTCGTCGTATTGTGATGACTCGTGCCATTGAAACAAAAAAAATTTTTTAGTGAAAGTGACTTGATTGCGTGACAAATCATTTTGAATGCGGGACGACCGTCATGTCACGCACCATTCACATAGATAAACGTCCCATGGAATTATTATGTGACAGACAACCTTATATTGTATTCATTTTTCATTATTATTATTATTATTATCATTTTTTTTCCCCGTTGATGATTATTTCGAGTGCGAAAAATATATATTAATTAATTAATTAATTATGTTACCTCGGTGGTAATTTTTTAGATTCGTCATTGTCGTTGACTTCCTTTCTGAAACATGCCACGGTTGCCACTGTTTGTTTTCCATTTATGTCCGATGTGATGTTCCAACCGGACGAACTCGATTCGATACTTAAAATTCGTAAACCGCTTTTAACTCGAGCTCTGAAATGATTAAAAATATTATTATTATCGCGTAATTTAAAACTAATATCGTTTGTTTGTTTGTTTGTTAAGGAATTAAAAAAAAAAAATAGTCAATTACCTCAAGTCGAAAGCGGCGATCGGTGTTGCGGATTTATAATGTAAAAAAACAGGCACGTGAATTCGTGAGAGGGGATAAAGGGGAGCGTGGGGTAAGAGCATCGTTAAAGTGTCGTCTGCTTTTATTTCTCTATAACTTTCTTTAGCTGATACGAGTGGTACTGCTGCGAGCGGAGTCAGGGGTTGAATTTGAACTCTCGGTATGCATTTTTCATCGTTTTTCGAATTGAAACTCGGTTCCAAAACGGAATAGGCGACGTGTACGAAACGCTGTGGAGTCTTTATTAGTTTTTGTGTTTTTCCCGAATTATCCGGCGGCGGTAGAGGAGCCCACCACGATGCCGGAATCGTTATCTGTGCCAAACAAACGCCATCTTCTCCGTCGGGACTGCAGGCAGCCGTGAGTGGAGTTTTATCACCCATGGTAGCTTGTAAAATTATGCAGATTTTTTGAAAGTGATTATACTGTCTTCGTATGCTCGAATCCGATCCGGTGTGAAACAAAACTCGGAGTACTGGGGAATCCCTCGGAATTTCATTACGGACTAAATGTGCGCTCATATCCAAATTATGCGAAACGGTAGATGCCAAATCCATGTCAACCAATATCGACGAAGAGGAAGACGTTACATTTCTTGTCGTGTCGGGGAGTGGTAAGGAATCGATTAAATCAGGTACAATGTATCTAGCGGGAACGGTTTGCTTTGTCGAAAAAGGACCGTAGGTGGCTCTTATCGAAACGGGTTGGGATGTTTGAAAAACGGTGAAACGATCAACGCTCAAAATTATCGAATTAGAACTTAAAAGTGTCTTCGGCGTTTGTTCTTTACTTTCTTGGCCAGCAGATAAATCGGCCACTGCTGAATAATACTGTCTCGGACTGTGTTTAATAAAAAATCCGCCATCTTTGTTTTCGAAATGAACTTCAACTGTACCAACAACACCTAAAGCAAAAACAAAAAAAAAAATAAATATAAAAATTTTCAATAAACGTTGGTTGTAGTAGTGGTGGTGGTGGTTACCAGACGATTTGTCTGTTTGTTTAAACTCGGTTCAATATAAAAAAAAATCAAATCAAATCAAATAATCACTCGAAGGCATTTGCGACAACGAGCGTTGTTGTTGTTGTTTGTTCATGTCTTACAAAAAAAAAAAAAATTCTTATTTCAACAAAGTCGTGTCAAAAGAAAGAAAAAAAAAAAAATGTCAAAATCAGAATCAAATAATGAAAGCTGAATCTTGTTAACACAATCTTTATTTGTTGTTGTCTTTTTTTTTTCCTTCACAACTCGTCGTGAATGACGATATTTTTCGAGGGAGAGAGAGAGAGAGAAAAAAAAAACCACCATCATCATCATCATTATTATTATTAATATTACATTTATTAAAATTTAATGAAATTTTAAAAACGGACAAAGAAAAACGAATCATCTAATAAAAACGTGTTTGTTCGAATAACGAGATGGAGAGAGAAAGGGGGGGAGGGAAAGGAAGGGAGGAAAGGAGGGAGGGAAAAAGACAAAGAAAATCATTCGAAGATTTTTGAAGAAAAATAGTTGGCAAATTTTTTTTTTTTGTTTTTCCCGAAAAAAATAAAAATAAAATAAAATAAAACAAAAAAAAAAAGAATAAAAAGTCAAGTTTTTTTTTTTTTTTTGATTTAAAAAAAAAAAATGTGACTGATTTTATAGAAAACCAAAGTTAAAAGATAAAATATCTGTTACCACGACAACGGCACGACCACTTATTGTAACGAAAAACTATCTTTAAATGACTTTTTGAATTTTCTTTTTTTATTTAGAAAAAAATAAAAAAAAAGTTTTTCTCGAACGGGAATAACAAAAAGAAAAAAAAATGGCGAAAAACAATATTAAAAAAAAAAAACAAATTTTTGACTCGGCTAAAAGATTTATAATAATAATAATAACAAGATATAATTTATTTTATAAGTTTTAAAAAAAATCGGAATTCATTTGGACTATTGCCACGTCGTATTCCATTTTTTTTTTTTTTGTTGGCGGCTCCAGTTTTTAATTTGTAAGAATTAATTAGAAAGTGTGAGAAAGAGATAAAAAAGGTAATTTTATTTGTCGTGTCAATAGAAGAGATTAAATAAAAATTTCCGAGTTGTTTTCAACGAATATTAAATTATTATAATTTTCGGTGAAAAAATTTTTTTCCCCTCCCATCAGTTATTTATATGAAAACGATAAAAAAAGAAAATATCGAAAACAATCAATCAATAATCAAAGAAAATTTAGGCTGGAATAAAAAGAAAAATTTGGCTCCAGCAAAATGATTTTTTTTTTTGGGTAGACTTCATCATCATTATTATACTCGAGGGAAAACCGAAAAAGAAAAAAAAAAGAAAGTCAATCAAAAGTCAAAAGTAATTCTCTAGGAAAAATAAAATAAGTTAAAATTGAAATTTTTTTTTTTTTAAACTGGAATAAAAAAATTTCAATCGCCATTGTTCGATTCATTTCAAAACACAAAAGAAAAAAAAAAAAAAATTTTTTTCCGTTAAATTACGGAAAAGGAAATGAAAACGTTCGAAAAGTTTAAATTTAAAAAAAAGAGAAAAAAATTTGAAGATCGGAAATAAAATAAAAAAATAATTTAATTCAATTCTCTCTCTCTCTCACTCTCTTTTTCTCTCTTTCTCTCTCTTCTCATTCTCTCAAAATCATTTTCCGAATAATTTGAATGACCTTTGAACCTCGAATCAAAAACAAACAAACAAGCAAAAAAAATTTTTTTTTTTTTTAATTTTTCCAGCTGCAAAATTTATCGAAATTTTTTCCGTAATAATAACAATTATCATTATTATTTTAACGTAATTGCCAAAGTGTGAGTTTCCATCATTTTCCGCCCCCACTTCCGCTTTTCCACTTTTCGAAAAAAAAATTTTCTAATTTTTATAATTCAGGAAAAACGCAACAAAAACGTTTGCACTTGTTATTATTATTTTTTTTTTGAAAATGACGCATTTGTCACGACAAATATTTTATCGTGTCGTTAGATGATGTTTTTCTTTCTCCTCCTCCTCCTCCTTTCCCCCTCCCCTCACTTCCTCCTCCCCCGGTCGAATCGTTTTTATTTAACGAATGAAATTTCGATGTTTGTTTGTATTTTCGTGTGTGTGTGTTATAGAAAGTGATGGATGTTTTTTTTTTTTTTCGTTTGTTTGTTTGTTTGTTACGCGCGTTTACTAAATTTTGTTTTTTTTATCATTACATAAATAACAATAATAATAATAATAAATGTTATACTTTTTTTTTGAAAAGTTAAGCGACGAACGGCGTACAAAAAAAAAAAATTTTCCCGATGATTTTTTTATTTTTTATTTTCTCTCTTTATCACATAACAACAAATCGATTCGACTAAAATCCGTATCGAACGACGACAACAAACGACAAACAACAAACGAAAACAATATTTTATCTTTTTTTTCCGACGATGTCAAAAATCATTCGTGAATGCGAAAAAAAAAAATAATAATTTTTTCACGTCATCGTTTAAAAAAAAAAGTAATTGCTGTTTTCAATCAATCTTTTAATCATTCATTCATTCATTCGTTGATTCCTCTCACATTCTCTCTCTCTATCTCTTTTTGTAAATATGATGTTGAAACATTCGTAAAAGTTTTTTTTTTTTTTAAATAGTAATAATAACAAAAAAAAATTTTCGACTCGTTGCATTGAATAATTAAAAAATTAAGGTTACAAAAAAAAATGTTTTTTTTTTTTTTTTTAAAACGTACCGGAAACCGGAAATAAAAAAAAAACACAAAAGCACATCGTTTTATCATAAGTCAGCATCTTTTAATTTTATATTATAAATGGAAAACCTTTTTTTTCCCCAACGTAACACTGGAAAAAAAAAGAAAAAGGGAGGAAAGGTGAATTTTTTTTTTTTACCTTTAAAAATAATTAAATTGAAATTTTTTTTTTTTTACCTTTAAAAATAATTAAATTGAAATTTTTTTTTTTTTACTGAATGGAATATAACGATAGGGATAATAATAATAATAATATTAATAAATGTTTAAAGTCCGAAAAAGGTGGCACAAGTGACGAATTTTACTAACCCAATTGCGGGAAACCATTCGCCATTTAATTTCCGGTTCTTCGATTATTATTGGCGAAATATAAATATTATTTTTTGTGAAATAAAAAAAAAAATTCCTGCTGGAATAGATGAAAAATGGTACAAGACCGGTTGCCCGACAGCGGAGGGTTCTTGTATAGAGAAAACTGTGCCAGTCAACGAACTGGATATCGTACTCAGAACGTACCGGCGGAAAAAAAACACAGACTGGAATAAAGAAATCTGGAAGTAGAAAGAACCTGAGGGAGCACTGGGAGCCGCGCCACATTCAATTAAAGGGAAATTTCAATACATTTGATATAATAATGTATAAAAAGAAAAGTCTGGAAAAACCATGAAGGAGCCAGAATGGAATATTTCGAAAATCAAAATGAATTGCTGAAAAAGTAAACTGGGGAAAGTGCTGAAGAATTCTAGAGGAGGTACCGGAGAATTATGGAGAAATTGCTGGAGAGTTCTGGAGAAAGTACTGGAAAGGTCTGGAGAAATTGCTGGAGAAGTTTCGAGAAATTGCTAGAGAAGTCTAGAGAAGTTTATAGAAAGTGCAGGATAAGTCTGGAGAATCCTGGAGAAAGTGCTGGATAAGTCTGGAGAATTCTGGAGAATTTTGGAAAAAGTAGATAGAAAAGAAGACGACTACCAACGATTTAAAATCATTATTATTTTTTAGATAATCGGTTAGAAATAACCTGGCGTATGAAAACTCGGATTTGTAACATAAAAAATTTTGTTGTTTTGTTAAAGCCAAGCAATAATAATAATAATAATAATAAAAGATTCACGCTACGGAGATTATTATTTAAATCTAACATTAAACATATTAATATGTATACACAGACACACACGCACACACGCACACACACAGACACACGCAAACAACTTTTTCACTGTAGTTTACATTCTATTTTAACCTTTGAACTTTAATATATGAAATTCAAAAAATTTTTTTTCATATAAGTCAATAACAATAAATAATAATAATAATTATTATTATTATCATTATCATTGTTTTTTAACGTACCTGCAGAGAACAAAAATTTCTGGAGAGGAAAATTTTCCGGTATGTTAAAATTCCCACGTCTTTTATCTCTTTTTCTTTCGCAAAAAAAAGTTTTTTTTTTTATAAAATTATTTTTAAATGATAATGAACGATATTCAAACGTCAAAATAATCGTGATTTGGGAGAAAAAAAAGGAAGCGAGAAAAGGGAAAGAGGGGTAGGGTGAAAAGGTTAAAGGTCATTGTTTAAAAAAAAAATTCAAATCAGTTATCGAAAGTTAATTAACCGAACCACAACGAAAAAAAATTTTTTTTTTCTCATATTTTCCTTTTTTGTTTTTTTTTAAAAAAAATTTTCCAAAACGAAAGGTCAAATAGACGAGGTCAAATTTTTTTACTTTTTTGGGGCTAAAAACAAAACAACCCTTAATTTATTTAAGAACTAAAAACTCAATTAAAGATAAAGAAAAAAGAAAATGTGAAACCGAAAGCTTGAAAAAAGGGGTGGAGGAAAACGAAAAAAAACCACCTTATTTTCTTTCTCTCTCTCTTCTACCTTCCCACCACTTCCTCTCCTCTTTTTATCCCGGAAAAAAGGTTATAAAAAGGAAACCTTTCCGCTTCCGGTTTCCCTTTTTTTTTTTTTTCTCCCCAAGAAATAAATTTAAAAACGGTCAAACTTTTTTTCTTTTTTTTTTTTTTAAATCAAATATTGCAATCTAAAAAAAAACTTTTTTTTCTTTTGTTTTGTTATTCTTTTCCGCCATTTTTATTTATATTCGATATATCGAATCGAAATCGACAAAAAAAAATTTTCCAAAATCAAAATTTGTTCATTCCTGCCAATCGTAAAAAGAAAAAAAAAAACGTTCGAACGCATTTTGTTTTTGCTTTCTCCAGTAAGTGCATCGTAAATTTTTTTTTCTTTCATTATTATTTAGCATATGGTAAAAACGGCACTATTTTTTTCAACGACAAACAAACGTTTCCAG